TAAAAAGTCTTAATTTCAAGTATTTGAAATTAATACTTTAAAATATCCTAAATTTATGAACTGTAATTTGGCCTTACATACGTTAACTCCAGGTCTTAAATTTTGTTGTGGCAGAATGTTAGGAGTTGCAGCTTTCTAAGAGTTTTCAAATCCAATTTGAAAATATTGTTAAAAGCAGCTCAGCTATGTAAACATTAACTGTGTGTGTGGGTGTGTGTGTGTTTGTGTGCTGTGATTGGAAAACAACTTATTTCCTGTCTTACTTGATTATTGTGTTTTATATCCAATTTTGAAACTTGTGAAAAGGCTGTAAATGTGAATTAGCTTTTGCTATAATCTGGTACAGGACATCAAATGATGACATGTGTGTGAGTTGTGTATTGTTGTCCAGAAAGGTCTTAAAAAGTCTTAAATTAGACTTGTAACATCCTGGTTTGTAGCAGTTAGCTCCCTGATCTCTGGACTGTAAACGAAGTGTTTAGTGGACTAACTTGGTGTCTAACTGTCCTAAAAACCTCAGTCTGAGATAAAGGAAAATAAACAACCGTGCTGATCTGTAAACACAAAGGGCCAAATGACACAGGTGGAGGGGGTGTGTGTGCGTGCGTGCGTGCGTGTGTGTGTGCGTGCGTGTGTGTGTGTGTGTGTGTGTGTGCGTGTGTGTGTGTGTGTGTGTGTGTGTGTAATGCTTCCATGCAGCTGTTGAGTTACGTTCAAACATCAGCTGGGACTTTAGCCTGACTGTGTCTTAATTATTCTCCTGTGTTACTAGAAGCTGATTTTTCTAGAACAAGAAATCTGACCTCAGGCAGTGTTACAGTTATGATAATTTTTTTGCCTGCAGTGGATAATGTAATGTGGGCTCCCAGTGCCTTGACAGTAATTTATATGCTTTCATCCTCAGGCCAGTAAACGTGTCTTTCTGAAAATTTGGTCAGCACCACTCATTAAGCAGTACTTTATTTTTATTTTATTTATTTTTTGTTGAAATTCAATGTCTGAAAGGAAGGGAGGGGACGAAATGAAGAGATATCTCATTCTCTGCTCAGGGTAAAAGGCTAAGCTCCCATTTCCAAATAACTACCCCTCAATTAAGTAGGAAGACTCTATAATCCGATGTGACACACATTTCCATATGCAGTAGCACTCCCGTTCCCTTTCTGGGGGAAGTTTTAACATTCGCTGTCAAAAGCTGGGTGCAGGCGTGTAGAAGGTCTTTCCAGAGAAATGACAGCAGAAATAACCCGGTTTTAAAAGGTAATAAAGCGCTGAGCCAAACCTAATGGGGGTGGATGGGATAGGATATGCCCTAATGGGGGGAAAAGTGTAACTTCCACTGCTACAAAGAGAAAAGTAAGAAACATTCAAACTTAAAGTACATGAAAACTGCTGAACTTAAATAAATCAAGAAATCAAGTTTATGCGTATGGCACATTTCAGCAACATGGCAGTTTAAAGTTTATAAAAACACAAAAATAAAAAGTCCTAAAAACATCACATAGTCACCAATTTGAGAAACTACTAACAAACATTACAATTTGTCCAGTGTCATGATTTAAATCATCGATGCACATTAAATATATTGATCAGTGTTTCATTTATTATGGACCAAATGCAACTCTAAAGAGGTGGATTATCAGCCTTGATTTGCTCTCGCCTGTTTCGCAGTTTTCTGGAAGTTTGTTCCACACTGTAAAAAGTGATGCATGGAGCTGTTCATTCAAGCTAATAACTACTATTGGATACATTGTAAAATAATTGACTTGATGGTGAAAGTCAATTTTTTTGCATTCTGAGGTGTCAATTTTGATTCAGACTGAATGAATCACACTTCTGAAGGAAAGAAAGCAAATATTTTGATTCCTCTCAAAACATACTGACAGGAAATGATGTAATAATGTGAATCTGAGTCACATGAGAAGAAGTTGTGGAGAAGTGATCGGAGAGCATCGTCGGTTTCGGCAAGGGGAAGAAAGCATTTAATCGAAGAATAAACCTGCGGTAAGTACTAATCTAATCTGATGTCTTAACAAGCCTACAATTGTATTAATGCAAAAGACTGAGTTAATGTCACCTGGTTAGCAAGCTGAAGGTCCTGCCTGAATATGGGTATCCTAGTAAACGCTTTCTTTTTTCGCCGGGTTAAATGTGATGTCATTTCTGAACTTACACGTATTTCACGAGAAATATCATTATGTGTACATTGTTCGGTTGTAGCTGAAATTATACAAGGTAGGCATAACTCGTTACCAATCAATCGCTTCCACCACGGTTCGCTCGGCTACACCTGAACTTGACTAGCTCAGCATATTAAGCCATGTTAGCAATTAGTTCGTCTAGTGTGTTTATACCAACCATTTAAAAAAAGAAAAACATGTGCCACCTATGAGTACATTAATGTGTAGTAGCTCATAGGAAATCATTTGTGCACCTGTCACTGCACCAAAGATACTTTGAGACTATAGGAACCAAAACAGGAGCCATCCAGTCTGTCTTCATATTTAAAGAGGGACTACCAGTGGCCTCTGGCAGATGTACTAGAATGGCTTTACATTTTCACTGCTTTGAATTAGTCTGCCATGGATTCAATATTGACCAGGCGCACACTGTAAAAGCACTGTTTATGGTAGAGCTAGGAATTGAGTTGCTAGATTAGTCTACACATCGCATAATAACCATTTTGATTGTCCCTAAAGGGTGCTGATGCAGATTTCAGAAGGGAGTGTATCCTCAAAGCTCTCATCATCTACCTGGGAGAACGTGTTGAGGACCTTATAAAGGAATACATGGTATGTCCAGATATTTTCTGTCACAATGATGATTCAACTTTATTCATCACAGGAGACCACCTATGCCATTATACAGTATATAGTGATTAATGAGGTGTGCCAGACTGCAGTTGTTCAGTTGCATATTTCGTATATTTTGCCTCCGGTCTCCCAGAAAGATCAAGCCGAGCAGGAGCTGGAGAGGACCATCATGGCAGACTTCGTCTTCAGAGAGAATTCAAGCCTTCTACAGCAGCCCCAAGACGTTGGGATTGTCATTGATGGTGTGGAAGTCCTCAATGAGTTGCCTTCTGTTGCAGCCGGAGTTGTAATGCTCTTTGGACTTTGCTATGCTCTTATCATGGAGTATCCACAGGGTTTCAGGTTCACCTTTGAGGCCCTTCAGAAGATCCTGATGGAGCTTAGTACCAACAAGATGACTTCCAAGATTCGCAAACTCAGTGGTGAACTCAAAACTGCACAGTAGTGTATATATATATCTGGTTCTGGGGTTTTGCATCCCCAGAACCAGAACCAAGAGAGGAGAAGCAGCTTTCAGCATCTATGCACCAAAACTTTGGAACAAACTTCCAGACAACTGTAAAACAGCGGAAACCCTGACTTCTTTTAAATCGCAACTAAAAACACACCTGTTTAGAATTGTTTTTGAAATGTAATATGTAACAATGTATTGTCTATTATATGTTGCATGACTTTGTGTTCTTGTGTTTATGCTGTAAAGCACTTTGAAATGCCTTGCTGAAATGTGCTATACAAATAAAGTTTGATTGATTGATTTGTGTGTGCTTAATGTGTGCATGTAGTTGCCACTGGCTTCTATTTAAGAGGTAGACCACCTCAGCAGCACTTTGTTATACAGGCTCAGAGGGGTCACTTTCATGGACTGCTTTTGTTGGAATTTTACTTCTTTGATGATGTTTAGAGATGCAACATTCCTTCATGTGTTTGAACAGTACAACAGTGGATGCTTTCCATCCATTTAATTTAGCTTGGTAAGCCTATTGTCTTTATTTCATTGCTCTGAGCAACAATGACATGTTTATATTTGTTTGTCTGAACATGCCACTTTTTTTTCTCCTTTTTTACTTGTGAGGAATAAATGACTTTGAAAAAATGTTGCTGGAGTGTATTAATTGTGTATTAATTTTTGAAAATGCAATATAAACACACTGTGTGTGTATATATGTAGATGCTGTACACACACACACACACACACACACACACACACACACACACACACACACACACACACACACACACACACACACTGTAAAAAAGGAACCTCAGGGGTTATCACATTAACAAAAGAATATCATGTACTGTTAACTAAATAATTGCATGTTTGAGCCAAAAACATGATACAATCATGTTGCATAAACAAGATATTCCACAACTTCAACTTTTATAAAATTGAATCATGTTGAGCTAACATGATTCATTATAGTCAGACCGATCCTATGCTGAAGACCACGAGTGAGATCACGGGATATCATGCAAGTTCACGCAATATTACGGGAAATCACGGGATATCACGCGAGAATACACGAGACAATTGGTTTTCTCTCGCAAATGGAATAAAATGTATTCAAGGTGAGATAACGTGATTCAATTACGTCAGCTAGATCTTCCGCCAAAAAAAAAAAAAGAACGTCGGGGCATATTACATGAACAAAAGAATATCATGTACCTTTCACACAATAATGTTGGGTTTGAAGCGAAAACGTGATAAAATCATGTTGGATAAACAAGATATTCCACGACTTCACATTTATAAAATTGAATCATGTTGAGCTAACATGATTCATTATTGTCAGACTGATATTGTGCTGACGACAACGAGTGAGATCACGGGATATCACGCGAGAACACGCGAGACAATCGATTTTTTCTCTCAACTGGACTAACGTGATTGAATGACGTTATCTCAACTTGAATAAATCTAATTAACATTTATATACCCACCGCGGGTGGTTCTTATCCTCTGAGCTCGGGTCCTCTACCAGAGGCCTGGGCCTGGGAGCTTGAGGGTCCTGCGCAGTATCTATATATATATATATATATATATATATATATATATATATATATATATATTATATATATATATATATATATATATATATATATATATATATATATAATTTTATTCAATATCAATATTTGTCAAAGTTAATCTAATTAAAAAAAAACACAGTGACGTCAGTTCCAAAGCGCTATTGTGTCAGACTCATCTCCCGCTGAAGAGGATCCAGCGACATCAAGAGATTACGGAAAATCACGCGAGATAACTGTCTTGCACCTTGTTGGGTTTTTTCAAGGGCAGAGGGGAGATTCCTGGCGTGCATCTACTTAATTTGAAGAAGGTAAGAGTCAAACTATTTTCATCCAAATCCATATAAAAATATGTAACTTAAAATTTCTCTACCATTTGCACCATTTTCTAATTGTTCCATACTTGTGTCACATTATTTCATGTTTTGTAGATTAAGTCGGTTAGGTTAAGGCAGATAGCTTTTTGTTTACATTTATCGCCGCACCATGTTAGGTACATTCTGTGCGAAAAAAGTCTGCAGAGCCATATGTAGTGTACAAAGCTGCTGCCAGAGACACAAATGGACCCCAGAAATGTCACAGTTTTGCTCCTCCTGAGCTCCGTGGAGGTTTAGTGGATTTTTAACACACGGATCTGGCATCAGTCTATTTCTAACTATTTTAATTCTATTTCAGTAATGTTACTATGGAGGTAAATGTAGATACACACACACACTTTGGTACCTTTCTATCATCATCGAGATTCTTAATTAATTATGGTAATAAAAAGTCCTATTTCAGTCGGTGAAACCTGCAGAAAGCATTGCTTTCTGAGCTTTGTTAAATGTTCCTAAAATACCTGTTAGTTATGGATTTCTAGTATATTTTGTCAGGCTAAAACTCTCAATGGATTATCCATTATTACAGACTTGAGCTTTCTATTTTTTTCTTTAAAATACATATTCCTCTGCTAAAGATGTTGGGGGTTTTTTGGACTCTTCTTTGTTGTCCCCAAATAATTGTAGCTCAGAAACAATTTGAAGTTCATTGGTTTAATTTTGAAATGTTGATGTTTTTTTGTGTTGATTGTTTGTGCTCATTTTGACCTATGTTACTATTGCTTTCTACCATGTTTCAATTCACCGCTGTTCTGCACATACGTGCTTGCATGTGTCCAGTGGTTATATTCATGAGGCATTCAAGGGACTTGTACTAAAAGATACAACTCAGTTCAGTATGAATTGCATATTTTAATGGCTGAAAATATATCTGATCTCTTTCAGAACATCACCTGATCACCTGTCTGTAATCCACCTGCGTAAGTACTGGTCAAGGGGCTCATCGGCTATCAAGTTATAGATTTCAATGGCTAATAGTAAGTTTTGCCAGATCTAAAGTGACTGAATGTAGTGTTAGAGAGCTTATAAAGCTAGGGTTCAGCTAAACATTTATTTGGCCAGTCTGTTTTATTTGTCTTTATTTGCGTGGGGATGTGGAAATGTAAGGAGTGTAGTCTCTCTCTGTCTCGTAGATATGACCTGTTAAAACATTTTACACTTAAACACCGGCATATGCGACGTTATCCATGCCCACACATAGACTGTCCATGTACTTGTAAGACATGGAATGCTTTGCATATTCATTTAAGTAGAAGGATATAGACTGTGTTGACCATTCTGTACTTTTCACATATTTCTTTGGTGATATATTCATGTCTTTATTTAAACCTCTAACAGCTTCAGTTAGATGTTTAAATAAGATGTTAAACTCCATTTTAGTCATGGCATAATGAAGGGATACTAACAATTTTAAATATCTTTCAAACAGACTGCAAGCCACTGATTACTTTTGTTGTGACTTCCTTTGAATGCAGCTATGCTTTCAAGTGTGTGAACCTATACTGCTGGAGTTTTGAGATTGTTAGGCCGAGCAGCTAAGCGCTGCGAAGGCCTATTGTTTCCTACTGTTTCTTATTATTATTATTCTGCCCCCCTAAAGAGGGGCCTTTTTGGGGGCTTTATCATTTTCAAAAACTCACCAACTTGGCGGACGCGTAAAGGGAGTTTCAAATTTTGTATTTTAAGGTCATTGCAAAAATCCCATAACAAATGGCTAAATAGCGCCACCTAGAAATTTTCAAAGAACCCTTTGCTATTCACTTACTTTATCCTAGAGACATGAAATTTGGTACACTTGTAGAGCTCCCCAAGATGCTCAAAATTTACAATTAATGTCATAGTGCAAGTATCACAGGAAGTCAGCCATTTTGGATTGAAGGTCCAATTTTGACCCCATTTTTGCCGTTTACAGCCTTCGTATTTGATCGAACTCCTCCTAGGGATTTCGATTGATCGGCTTGAAACTCGGTCAGTCTGTTCATAAGGCATGTCCCATCTAAAGTTATCAAAACGGTGAGTTTTTGAGTATGTTGAAGGGGGGTTGGCAGGGGTCAAAGATCACCTACTCGCCATAAAAAAATAAACTGCTATATCTCCTACACAGAAACTCATAGAGGCACCAAAGTTACTGTAATTAATCATCATTAGCTGCCCTACAATACCCTATGGTCGAATGATGACATCACTTAGGCCACGCCCCCTGAGAACAGGAAGTGTAATGTTTTACTGTGAACTGTCGCTATCTGACCCCTTTGACCTCATCAACATGAAACTGTGCCCAGACACAGAAGACATGTTGGTGTGTTGAGGATTCCAACCACGACCAGCTTCGATGGAGCAGCTGGGCGTGGCGGCGTGGCGAAGTGACCCGTAACGCCATAGCCATACGTTTGGCTCTCAAATCCACATTTTTGGGCGCAGCTGCTCCAAACTCACAAAGATGGATCTTCATCCACTCCCCGACAGGAATCCATCACAATATTTGGTGGGTGTGGCCTACTTTCTCTATAGCGCCCCCTAGAAAACTTTAAATGATCAGCCCCAAGCCATGCTTTAACCTACAACTACGAAACTTTGTACACGTGTGTACCATGTCAGGAATTACAAAAAAGTCTCTTGGAGCCACGGTCTAAACCCAGAGGAAGTCAGCCATTTTAGATTGAAGTTCAAATTTTGATCCCATTTTTGCCGTTTACAGCCTTCCTATTTGATCGAACTCCTCCTAGGGATTTCGATTGATCGGCTTCAAACTCGGTCAGTCTGCTCATAAGGCATGTCCCATCTAAAGTTATCAAAACGGTGAGTTTTTGAGAATGCTGAAGGGGGGTTAGCAGGGGTCAAAGTTCACCTACTCGCCGTAAAACAATAAACTGCTATATCTCCTACACAGAAACTCACAGAGGCACCAGAGTTTCTGTGATTGATCATCATCGGGTGTCCTACAATACCCTATGGTCGAATGATGACATCACTTAGGCCACGCCCCCTGAGAACAGGAAGTGTCATGTTTTACTGTGAACGGTCGCTATCTGAACCTTTTGACCTCATCAACATGAAACTGTGACCAGACACAGAAGACATGTTGGTGTATTGAGGATTTCAACCCCGACCAGCTACGATGGAGCAGGTGGGCGTGGCGGCATGGCGAAGTGAGCTGTAACGCCATCGCCATACGTTTGGCTCTCAATTCCACATTTTTGAGCCCAGCTGCTCCAAACTCACAAGGATGGATTCCCATCAACTCCCCGACAGGAATCCATCACAATATTTGGTGGGCGTGGCCTAATTTCTCTATAGCGCCCCCTAGAAAACAGCAGCCCATAGGTTATGTTGTTATTAATTATTTAAATATAAATTATTATAACTTTTTATATATATATAAGTTTATTTTGTGGGTTAAAGTACAAACATTCATTCATTTTTGCTAGAAATAATACAAACAAAGTCATTCAGCAAAACTTATGACAGCGAAGTAAGAACACACTGGAGTCAGTGTTGATGGAGTACCACTGGCACCTTGTGGCGATATACTGGTACTGCTAGTACAATACCAGTATTGCCCCAGCAGGAGGCAGTGGTACTCCATCAATGAGAAAACAGATCGACGCTACGTAATAACAGTCAGCCGGCGACAGCTGGAGCTGCGAAGTTTTCCTGAACATTTTGCCTGCTTTTTGGAGCCACAGAACTGGACTACGCTCAACATTTTGCTTGGATTTTGGAGTTGCAAATCCGAACCACGCTTTTGAGCAAGAAGGCTCTGTTGGACCGGAGTTGGAGAAGTTTAAACTGAGCAACAGCTTCCGCGGTGCGGGCGGAGGCGCTGAAAACTGCGTGAGAGCTTCTGTGGTGGCTGGCGTGAGGCGGCGGTTGCTCGTACCCCGCGGTGGCAATAGCCGGAGCGGCGCTTGGCTGCGAGGGCCGTTCGAGGCTGCTTGCAGCTTTAATTCTCATTGTTTTTTGATCTGCATATTTAGGATGACACTGCTGAGGGCAGATGAGAGTGCATCCTCAAAGGTCTGTGTGTACCTAAATGAAGATCCAGAGAAGCTGGTGAGGGAGTACATGGTATGTTAAATTCTCTTTGTGTTTACAATAGAACTCCTAAGAGTTGTTAAAATACTTTCACCAACTAAGGTCCATGAGTGACTCAATCAATGTCAGTCTAATTTATTTATTTAATTACATGTGAATTGTCTCCCCCCCAATACCCTTCCCTAACTCCCTTAGGACGTCGATGAATGTGCAGAAATGGCCAAAGCCGAGACTGTCCTCGGATTCGTCATTTGAGCAGAGGGTGCAGAGGCTGCCGATGCACATCTGGATGTTGGGATTGTCTTGGAGGAGGTGGAAGTTATGAACAGCTTGGGCAGTGTATCTTCTGCAATAGTGATGCTGCTGGGACTAATCTACGCACTAAACTTGAGCTACCCTCAAGTTTACATTTATCGCCGCACCATGTTAGGTACATTCTGTGCGAAAAAAGTCTGCAGAGCCATATGTAGTGTACAAAGCTAAACTTGAGCTACCCTCAAGTTTAGTGCGTTCAGCACTCAACTTGCTCAGTAACTCAAGCATACCTTTGAAGTAATACAGAAAAATAATAATGAAATTGGATGGAAAGAACTTATCAAAGAAAGCACAAGTTCTCAATATGAAACTCGCCGCTAAGTTGAGTTAAGTTTCATATGGAAAATCAGTGTTTAAAGTCTGCAGTAGAAAATATTTATATTGTTACAGTTCTCTAAGTTGAGCAACTATACTGACATGTTTTATGTTGTAAAGAATTGGCTGGGAAATGAAACTGTAACCTTTTTGTAGTTGTTTTTTTTATTTCAATGTCCAACTCAGCTGTGTTTTGTGCTGTGTAAAAAAACGATGTATAACAAAATACAATTGTGTTGTACCTTTTCTAATTGTTGAGTGTTCTTCCTACACTTTCACCTAGTGCTATCTTAAAATGCTTGATTAACGCTTGAAAAAATGTCTTTGAACTAACATCATGAAATAATGGAAAGGATTTCCACACGATTAACTAGCTGTCTTTTAGCATGAAGCATATTTGTTGAGCTAACTTACTTTTAGTGAGTTGGACCTACTGAATCAAGTAGTGTGAAGGTACCACTGTAAAATAAGGTGGTTTCAACTAGATTTACATTCATCTTAATGAAGTAACATCAATGATTTGGTCCTAAACATTGCAGATTAGTTGGGCTGGCTCTATTGCATTACACTGGGTCACACTATAGCAACTGAGTTAAAGGAACCTTTAAAAAATATGTTGAGCCAACACATTTCATTTGAATTTGAATAACCTTAATGAATGGAGTTGAGCCAACTCATTTGATTTACAATCATCCGTTGCATTACCATAATTCTGGTTAAGCCAACATATTTGGTTTAAATTAGAACAACCTTAATGAATTATGTTTTGCCAACTCATTTAATTTATATAAGAATAACCACATATATTACGTTGAGCCAACATGTTTGATTTAGAATCACCCATTGAATCACCATTGTAACAAGTTGAGCCAACACATTTGCTTTACATTGGAATAATCTTAATAAATTAGGTTGACCTAACACATTTGCTTTAAATAGGAGTAACACAAGTACATGGTGCTGAAATAAAGCAAAGTAATCAGGTGGAATCCTTTCCATAATTTTTTTATGTTCATCCAATGACTTATTTTTTTCAGTGCACACACACACACACACACACACTCTTTGGGCCTCCTCTTAAGCCATGATCGTCGCTGTCGGACAGAAACCAACTTTCTGAAAGACTTTTCTTGTTTTGATTTCTGGCTACGTTTAGCCAGAAATCAACCGGTTGCCCAGCCATCAGGGTTAGCAAATAGTTTTTTAAACCAAATTTCTGAAATATAAAAAAAAGACTTTCACTGTGAAAATGAATTAACTCGTGCTAATGCCTGAATGTTACTTTGGTGCAATGTATATATATTTGATTGGTTCAATGTAAATATTTTACTTTGGTTCCAAAACTGAAATGTAAATAATTTAACTTGGATAAAGGTGAAGAATTAATATTGGCTCAAGTACAATAATATGGTTTGAGTCAAAATTAAATAGCCATGTTGTACCAAACAACTTTATTTACATTCTGTGAAGTCAAATATTTTAGATGCAACAAATGGACATCAAATTTTTTACTTTAAGCAAGGCCACACTTTTTACAGTGCAGATTCGTGGTGCATAGAAGCTGAACGCTTCTCCATATTTGGTTCTAGTCCAGAAAACTTCATTCAGGTTTAAGTATAATATAAGGAAAAAGTAGCAGACTGAGCAAAATAAATATTCGTTGAAACTTTTATGTTTTTGTTTGTTCTTTATAAGCAAAATACTGAACTCTTAACATTTCTAGATTTAGCTAATTTGCAATCTCTGCCTTCAGGAAATCATCACAACCTTGATCTTCTATTACCCTTTAACAACGTTTTTATCAGCTTTTCACTGAAAAGTAGCTCCTATAATAAGCTCAGCAGAAATGTAGTTCCACCAGGCTAGTCTGAAGGAGCTGAGTGGGAGAGTTGCGGAGAAAAGTTGCTCTCAAATCAAAGCAACACTCCAGGTCTGTTTTTGATGAGGGATGACATGATATGATGTAGAGCAAAGAAAAAAAAGAAAAGAAAAAAGATTTTACACAATATTTAATTTTTAATATTTATTCTAAAGTTTTCTTTTGTTTAATTCAAAACAAAGAGCTGCTAACATGACTTCAGAGCGAGTTGTTTTCTGTCTTGACATGCTGTATGTTTGCAGTCTTAACAATGACTGAGCGCATTTGGTCAGCAGTTCTAATTATTTCTGACAGATTTAAGAAGATCTTTAAGTGGTCGGTGTCTCCTGTGTGTTCAGCTGCACTGAAGATTTACTTAAGCAAAGGAGGAAGTTGCTTTGGGATTCTGTTGATTCCTCCTCTCATCTTTACCACTCAGCCACTTCAGACCCATCACGGCATGTTCACTTCCATCTTTCCAGGGTTAAGTTGCTGCTAATAGTTTGACTTTGAAGCAAAGCATCTCTGTGGAAGATTGTGAGCGCAAGCCGAGCTTCGTTTCTTTATTGTTAAAGGTTATAGAGCAGAAATGTGAGATCTCAGCAGAGAAGCTGTTTCGACAGCTTTGATTGTGATGAGAAACGTGAAATCTCAGATCTCCACAATTAACCGTGCGGAGGTTTAAAAACTCTGCGGGATATTGAAGTTTTGTTTCCAGAATCTCAATTTGAACTGAATGGTATTTTACTCTGTAACAAGGCATCTGGCTTTTATGTAAATTTTCTTTTTTTAAATATGATTTCTATTAAAGCACACAGATTCACTGCAGGGAAGAGAAGTGATAACAGTTTCAGCTGTTCCACAGAGGGATGCAAAAGACTTTGTCAACAGGAGCTCTGAGGCAGATTTCTATTTATTTCTATTTCTATTTATTTCTCAAGTTAGTTACTTTTTACAGCCGAGCTGTAAAAGTAACTTAAACAAACAGATCTGTGGTACTGCATTTTCCTTTCCCTGATATTAAAGCCATGAGTTTTAAAGAAACTAGATAAAGTATATAGTTTGGGTTCTTAACACAGAAGAGCCATCCATCTGTCTGGTAGGATTAGTCTTTGAAGCTCCCTGTTGTTTTTTCCCCCCGGCTCTTGTCATCAAACAGGATTTGGGTCTACATTTGTTTCAACAGAAAAAAAGAGCACATAATTTGACCTGTTGGCATGGATTTACAAACTGCAATAAGGATTGTTTCATCAATGGCTGTTTGTCATATTTCAGCTTTTCACCCCAAATATTTTCCCTTTGCTTTTTAGTCTACAGTGGAAAATCCCAGAAGTAATGCAAAGTTTAAACTGAGTCACTATAAACGGTAAAAATCTATTTTACTTGGATTAAAAACAAAATAGTTGGGTTTGTAAAACGAGTTTTTTGTCTGTAGCGTGCAGCTTCGACACCTACGTTAACCTTCACTGAGCTTCCATTACATCCTGCTACAAAACGCTTCCCACTGCCTGTTTGTTGTGTAGGTTTCTCCTGAAACTGAATCTTTGCATTTCACAAGCAGGGATTCGATTGTGTTGCACGCTGAACCACTGGCAGGAATCCATTCTGCGATCAGATCCCATTCTATAGATCTGTACAACCCATTGAACTGCTTCATACAGAAGTTGTTTAAAACCATAATGGGATGTAATATCCCTACTTGAATCCATTTTAAATGTTCAAGTGAAAGTGGGAAATGAGAACAGTGTGACATTACAGGGTGGCTGCATTTCAGTGCTGCGATAGGTTTATTATAGAGGCTTTTTAGGAAGACAGTACAGTGAAGCAAACGTTTAATAAATGACTCCAGGTAATAAACTCGGCTCACTATCCAACTGTGTCTGTCCAACAGTTTAACATGAGGATGTGTCAAGCACTTTTAATACAACCCCATCATCTCATTACAGAGGTCCTCCAAGTTTAATTACTTTCTGCGCTTGGTGTTATACTTAACCTGATATGTCTGATCACTTTCATTCCCATTACTGAGCATCTGCCACTCCGACCCAAGAGCTTCTTCCGGCCGAAAGAGATCCAAATAGCGAGGACACATTAAAATTGTGTTTTCCAGTCTCTGTTTAGTTTGGTCAGGAAAGAAGTCCTGTTTGTCTGGATTGTGTCAAGTTTAACCAGAATTGCCTATTTGTTTCTCACATTTAACCAAATGTCAGTGCATCAAAACATCCATTAGGTTTTTCTGCTTCTGTTCTTAGTACTTGAACAAAACTATACATCAATATGTTATATGATGAACTATAAATCTTTCCTATGGCCTTGAAGGTCATAGGAAAGGTGACATTAAAGGAGGCACCCTTTAATGAGCAAGAATAAACAAATGTTCTGCAAACTCCTGAACATATGAGGTGATCGACATCAGCAAGTGTATCAGCGTCTTCACTTTCACAGCGGCGCTGACACACTTCCACCTGTTTGTGTTCTTATTTGATGAGACTTTGTCATCCATCTGACTTCAAGATAAATGCCCACAGATGTCTACCAACATATCCTGGACATAAATCACTGCGAGGTTTCCTCTGAAGGGATAATGAGGCTTCCCAGAGTCTTGCTTCAAGTACTTGTGCCAATGTGAGCTGACAGGAAAGGAGAAATAATGTAATTTAGGAAGCGGTGGGGCTATAATTAGCACAGTGTGTGTCTTTGGTCAGTACACAAGGTTAGAGAAATTGCTGTGTTTTGAATCACACCAGGTAGATGCTGACATCCTGCATGGCCTCTTGATGTGGGTTTGTGGACTGGTTTAGAATAATAATGTCAACTCTTCCTCTGTGGTAAAATACCAGCAACTTAAAAAAAAAATAAAAAATTATAGTATCAATTCATCCATCCATTCGTTCAAAATGTATTACATTATCCCCTTTCATATATTAAAAAGAACCGCAATTACATTATTGGCAGGTATTGCGTTATTAGCCACTGAGTGACGCAAAAGTTTATATATAAACGAGCAGAAAGCGTTCGATGTTGCCTTGCGATAGCTAAAATAACAACATAAATCT